ATTTACTATTTGGAATATGAAAGAAACTAGAAAAGGCATTGGAAAGATCGCCAATATGTTTGACATGATTTCGTTGTACTTTGAGCAAATTGACACCACCGGTAGTAGTCTGAATGCCATATTCATGCAAGGCTAAGGGCCAGAAAGCTGATCCTATTTGATTCCCGCACTGGCCAACTAAGACATTGAAAAAAAGAAAATAAAAAAGCAATTTGTTTTTCAAGTCGACGTTGCCTTCATTGATAAAACCGTTTAAATTATGTCGGTTGTATGCGTTTACCTTGCACTGTAACAAATTGACTCATTATTTTTATTATATCCAGAACCTAAGATGTCGATATAATTCGTCATTAAGTCCGACAATTTCTACAATGAAAATTATTTCCTGTCAACTTACTACGTTTAAATTGTTTGTTTACTTCAATTGCACTCTTATGTTACGATTTCTACTATAAAATCACGTAAATAGATACGAGTTAAGATTTAGGGGAAGGGAGAGGAAAAGAAGAAGAGAAAGACACAAAAGAATCAATCACAGAAGAAACAGATGTTTTTGACGTGTATGAATACAGAAGAGATGTTTTTATTGTATACACATAGTTCCGGTCGGCACTCGACAGCCAACATATGCACCTCGGCAGTCGGCTCGCGAGATCTCGCTCATCTCGGAACACTCGAACAGTCGATAAAGATCGATTCGGTGCATCCGTTTTCTCGCAATAATTCGACAATTCATGTTTAAATCTTTCTTTTTGCGGCTTTTCGATCTGACCGGTCTGACTAGTGCCGACAGTATGCAGCGAGTTGCATGGCGAATGTAATATTAGTGAATTTGAGAGAAAACTTCGTTGAACCGGGAGAATGGATAGCGCAGCTGGGCTGTTGAAATGGATTCTTTTGTGTCTCTATTTGTCTCATGCGTTCGCACGTCGCATTCTCGACGAACCAAGTAAGCTTTAGCTAACCTCTCCGTTGACCAAAAGATAAGCTTTGATGATTCTGTTATCAGAAATTGTGCAATTGAGAAAAGCAACAATAATATATCATCGACAATTAACTGTATGATAACACATATGTCAGGCGATACATGTACTTAATCATTAAAATGCTCCGAACACAGAAAGAGTGCACAGTCATGGCTTCTTATTTTGTTATTAAAATGTATTTAATAATTAATTACACTTTGTTATTCATTTCCTTAATCATTATAAGCTTAAAATGTCTAAGGTTATTTTAATTATATTCCTAAAATATTGTTTTATTATCAAGTTGTTAACATTCAAACCTTTTCATAACTTAAAATTGATAGCAAGGAAAAAAATGCATTCTCTTTTTCTAAATGCTGTTAGACTAATTTATGATTGTAAATATTTATTTCTTATACTTTATAGTTATGATATATTTTGGTACATGTTATGTTTCAGAAATACATTTTCTAAATGCAGATGACAGTGTACAAAATAATCATCCTGGTCTAAAAACATATTGTCACAATGCTACGTCAAAGTATTTAACACGTATGTGGAGAACAATGACTGTAAGAAGCTTTCAGGAATATACATATATATAAAAGATTTATATATATATATGTTATAAACTTTTAATATTACAGATGCATCTGAATATTAATTCAGACTCCTATATTTTATACGATGGTAAAACACCTCAAGAAATCCACCAAAAGTATGATGAAAATGATAAATCATGGAGTCTTAATTTGTTTGATACAGGAAAGCAATTTAAGATTAATCCATTTGAAGATACATGTATAGGTATTTATATAGATTCTCCCAGTGAATCTATTTATGTAATGGCACTGAAAGAAACACGTAAGCATCTGAATTGTTTTAAGATTACTCCATTTTATATGTTAAAATAATTGACAATATATCATCCTTCATCATCAGGTATCAATGTTTGGAGACTGACAATGATGGTAACAGGTATTATAGTTTTTTGGTGTGCCAAAATATTAAGTCGAAATTCGTTGTTTTATTATGCTTGTGGCATAATACTTGGAGTCAGTTTATCTATTATAATTTTAATATATGTGGCTGGGAAATTGATTCCACGGGTATTTATTTTAATATAATATAAATATTTGTTTCTAATATATTTTTTAATAAAATATTATATATATATTTTTCTTGTTAAGGGAAAAGCTATGTACGTAATGTTTGCTGCATCAATGAGTCTTTATATTGCTAAAACATTATGGGAAAACATGCAATTAATTATAATGCAATATAGAGAATGGGTGATGTGGTATATTCTTGTTACATCTCTGATTAGTTTCGTAATTTGCTACCGTTTTGGTCCAATTACCAATACGAGAACAAAACAAATAATAGAATGGTTTTTGCAGGTAATGTGTCATCTTATTGTATACGTTCTTTTTTTAATTTGTTATTTTTAATTGTTTTATGTTCATATAGCTTGTAGGATTGGCACTGATTTATCACAGTAGTCACTTTCATGAAGCATCCATTTCATGTTGCATTGTTGTTATACTTTTCTATAACTTTCCGAAAGCAGCATTTGGGCGAGCAAAGAGGTATTGGTAAGCATCGATAGGATGTGTAATATATAATTATATTCGCTGTTTTAGCCAGCTATGATCTATGTACTGCACAAAGTTGCAATTGTGTGAAAATTGAACATTTTTTAAATTAATTGCTTGAATAAACTTCTAATCCATTATATATACACTCTTCTCTCTTTGTTTGTTGGTTTTCTTTTTTATCATCTGTATGCATTTATACTAATTTTATAATTTTTTTTATAATAATTTGTTTTGTGGATGTTTAATATTATTTGAATAATAAGTTGTGTACATGTTGCTAATGCTTAAATTAATATATAAACAGCATTTATCTACTAGTGCACAATTCTATCTTAAGCACAATTATGTATGTTATATTTACTTAGTTTTATGTACTATGTATAGGTTTTATTATATAAATATTCATATACTTTTATTAAGCTTAATACGTTCAAACAATTTTTGAATAATTTTTGTACTTACAATGTATCTTGTATATTGAGCAGTTGTATTTTCAATTTTTGCAATAAAATGCATTATATTCTCTTTTAGGTTGCGTTTCATCTTTATACTAATAAATTTTATTTAGAATTAATATTATAAATCTTACAAATACGTATATAAAAAATTTATAAGCGCATTATTAACTTGTCAAATATCTAATCTTTATTATTGGATATGTTTGGGCTGCGTAAATTTTCCAAATATAAATAATATTCGTAAAGGACTCTTAATAATAATAAAAATCAAATATAAAACAAGGCATGTAAGAGTCAATACCAACGCACAATATTAAAAAATAATCAAAATTCTATTACATTAAATCATTCTATTACATAAATTCCATAGCAAATATGTATTTTTCCAAATATGTAATAATCAATTATGTATTAAGTACACGAAGGTTTTTTTATATTTTTTCCAATTTATCTTTGAACATGAAAACGAATGAGGTAATACAGAGCTTTTTCTTTTTCTTTTTTTAAATGAGGCAACACGTGTTTCCGGAAAAACGAAAATTAATTAATGAAGATCAATATCGTCAAGAAGGAATACGACAAACTAGGAAAGCTTTAAAAGGATTGCAAAACTATTGCTCCAGTCCGGAATGCAATCCTTGGAAGACAGTATTAAAACTGAAAGATCCAATAAGGTTTCAATTTGTTAAATTTAATATCACACAATGTGTGTATGTGTGTGTGTGTGTGTAGTAGTAGTAGTAGTAGTAGTAGTAAAGCGTCGTAATTAGCAATATAGATATGAATCTTTCAGATTTGCGAGATTTATGCAAGGAGAATCGCATCTATTAGAAGATGAAATCGAAGAACACGAAGAAGAAACTTCGAAAATTTTAGAGAAAGAGGAATACACAGATGATGATGATGACTCTTTCTGAATAAAATGCATCTTCTCTCTTAGATAGATATTGGTTTCCAATCTAAAGAGTTACAGTGTCTTGAGTACAAATGCTTGAATAAGAATTTTATAAGAAGTATCATACAGAGAGAAATTTATACTTATTATAACGATAGTTTAAGCTTAATAACATATATAGTATTTATTTTTGTTTGCGTGAGTTAATAAACATTTTTCTAAAAAGACTGTGAAATAGATACTTAAAATAATAATATAAATTTATCTATATCTTTATCTATATCTTTGCTTAAACACTTCTATGTAATATATTCTTTAAATATGTAAAAATATGTATAGCAATACATGTTTATGAAATAATTTTTTTTATGAAGATGACGTGTGTCTTATATTAGTAATATTTTTCTGATTATACGAGAGAGAATTGCATAAAAATAAATAAAAATTTTATAATCCAATTATTTTATTGTTTATTTCCTTTACTTATATTCCTATTTTTTTCTATAATCTGTCGTAATAATATTGTTATAATTGAACATATATGACAAATATAAGATATATGACACATATTAAGATATTTTAATAGTTTAAATAATTTATACTTTGTTTACTTAATTTTGCATAAAATTTTTTAATGAATAATAAATTTGTTAATTTTTTTATATGTATGTTAATTTATCGCTAATTACATTGCGACAGAAAATTTAATTATTGCTTTATTTTAAAGCTGTTATATATAACATAATAAAGAAAATATCCAAATAAGTTTTTATAAAATATTGCTTTATTTAATTTGATAGTTTCTAGTGTGTTTAAAAAAAATAAAAAATTGAATTTTATTTAATGCCTATAACGGTCGAAGCTGGATTTTATGTTAGACGCTTTAAATAATTTGTGTAAGTTTATATACTAAATATGTATAATCATTTGAACTGCGCGCAATTAACATTTAATTTGTGACATTACTATAATAGTTTAATTAGGTTTGAAGTCCGAAAAATCAATTCGGCGCACAGTTCAAATGACTATATATTTAGTACTTATATAAATTTACATAGAAATTGATAGAAATTATTTAAAACATCTAACGTAAGATTCAGCTTCAACCGTTATAGGCATTAAACTCTCATTTGTTGTTTATTCACATATATATATACGATCTTAATAAATTGTTTATTACTGAATTTTATTTAACATATCCCAATATTTGTAAAATACCATACATTGCATTGAACGTGGTGATCATAGCAGATATTTGTGGAGGTAACGGTAGATTTTTCATTGCTGCATTCAGCAGCGTGTGCAAAGCGGGTAGAAACACCACTAGAAAAAAGTCCTTAGCCACTTCGAATATTTTGTTAGATACTGTATTGAAAAAACTCATGATTATACTGCTTATGAAATTGAATGGTTCTTGGTTTAGCAATGTCGAGATGTTAGCTGAAGCTATTTTGAACAATACATCTTTTCCAGTCAATAAATTATTTATAAAAGTCATGAAGGTTTCATCTGTACATCTAACATCGTTAAATCCCAATAAGCTTAAGAGTGCGTTTATCGAAGTTGGTATAACTGATGTTGAAATGGTTCTTTTGTATCTCATGAGAGATTTTTCGAAAGGCATATTTGCATAGTTTTTGTAATCTCCATTATCTGAAAAAATGACACATTAAAAGGATAATTATTGTATAATAAAAATATTAAATTCTGTATTAATTTATCTATTCATATTTTATATTTGTATAAAACTATATATAATATTTAATTATATTAAGATATTGTTCCAAATAATTATTCTTCTTTCGAATATATAAAAATCTGTTTTCTCTGAAAATGGTTTCAAATGCAGCCAAAATGTTTGAAGTTTGAAATGCTTAATTAAAAATGTATTACTTTTATAAAACTTATGCACACACCGCATTTTTATTTGTCTATTTTATTTGTAAAATTTATCATTTTAATATCGAGAAGTTGGTACTACTTTTTATATAAAAATTTTATTAATTTATTAAAAAAGTGCATGTTAAGCAAAACGTTTTTTTAAAAATATTATCTGGCACACATTAATCCGTAAATGACAAAATTTTGTTTGTTTCATAACGCGTTACTTAATATCATAATGCTGTAAACTATAATTATTAAAATATAATTTCATCAAAAATTAAAATATTTTTAGATAGTATAACGCTAATATTACAATCATATTATAAATATGTTAATATGAGACTTACTTTGTATTGCTTTAGTCACGTGATCTCCTTCATTATATGTCCGGCAGGTACCGTACACTACAGCCATACAAAGAATCAGAAGCGGTATCTTCATTTTGTAAATGATTAGCTTTACTTTATTAGAAGTATCGAAATTTATCGTCGATTTAGACTGGCGTTTTTTATTTCCTTTCTTGCCTCGTCGGAATTTTTTGCAATTAGCCACTTTTCTGACGTGCGTCGCTCCTTTTTATCGTTACCTTCTGGTAGAAATCTTCGGCAGAATTAATTAGTTTAATACAATCTTTTGACAACCTGACGTTCTAGTCGTCTTAATTAATTCCGTAAGCGATAAAAGTTTCAAATAATGTTCGGAGCAGACAGTGCGATGTCTCGAATTAATGTTCTATTTGCTAATTGCGCCCGGTTATTTGCATTCGAACAGTAACTCGATCATTTATTTTGTTCTACGTTTTATTCGTTATATTAACAACTTTTGCTTATTTTGATAATAAATATACCTGCAAATTTGCACTGAACTTGCTTGCTTATGAAGGCAGCATTTGTAGAACTAACAATACAAACGACTTTTCACGGACAGCGTTGACGCATACTGTGTATTACGTATACAAGCCCTGGTTATCGGTACTAATTTCATATGGAAAAACGTTTTCGATATCTACAGTGACATTTACGGTCTATCTATACCTTTTTTTTATTATCGCTGCATTTTTGGCGTGATGAAATACATTTTGGTTTCCGGGTATGTTTATTAAATAAAATGACAAGTTATTTTGTGCAAACGCTAGAAACTATAGATACATAACTTAAAATGCTAAACATTAATAAAATATTATTTTTATACAAATGAACCTTGTCGAAATAAATTGCCATTCAGTTCCGCTATTCTTCAAAAAAGGATATCGGTTTTGCTGACATAAGTTGCATTTTCTAGCTAAGAAACTAAGATAATGCATGTACATACATACTATATATTATGATTTTAATAGTAAGAATCATCGATCTTATAAACAAATAATTACAATCTAATTTGTTTATAAGTAATTTACTCATAAATATTTCGTTAAAAAAATATATGATCATTATTAATTAATTTTACGTGAAAAAATAGTCAAAAAAGATTTGTCATTGCATATTGTATCATGTAATTTATTGTATTAGCGAATACACACAAGACGAAATTTAAGATTAATACTTGTATTAATATTATAAAGATATGAGTCAAATAATATCTAATCTAATGGTATGTTCCTCAGACTCGTGTTATCAATCGAATCAATTTGTTTATGTCTTACTTTATTAACTATTTCATCAAACGTTCGCGAAACGCAGAAATCGTAGAGTCCACTGGACGTAACAGATAAAAAGATTGATTAATCGATTGTTTATTCCAAATTTTTTACCATATTGAATAATTAGGTGAAGAAACAACGAAACAAATAAATAGTCTGTGATTTAATGATGCAAGCAAGGGTGCTGCGAGGTGAGTGCACTTGCACCCTCCTGGCTTATGAAATAATTAAGTAGGGAAAGGGAAAATTTACAGGAAAAAAAAGTAGTCTAATTATAGAATATAATTTTTTTAATTAAACAGAAGTTTAATGCATAAATATTAATTAATGTAAAATTTTAGGAAATCCATTTTTAAAAAATCAATGTTGAAACAAAAATTTGGTTACTGTAGTCCAAATTTGTTCGTCATATTATCAATATCAAATTCATCTACTTAATGTCTGCAATTGACGTCGGAATTTGAATTCTTCTGAGTGCACCCCTATAAGTAGTTCTATTAACGCTCATGGATACAAGCTAAATTATTATTAGAAATCAAACTAATCAGAGAGTTAAGAAAGAAAACTTACTTGTTAGTTAAAGAGAGCAAGGATGTAAGAGTCAAAGAAAAAAAGTAAAAATTTTTTTTTTCTCGTAGTTGTATCGAAAGAATTAAACACAATAACATTATGATTGACAATGAGTCAAAGATTGGATGTCAGAAATAAAATAAGAACTATGAAATGTTAAAAGCAAATATGTGTTAAAAAAGTAATTATTCGAATGTGTATAAAGCCCGATCTACAATAGCGTAAAAGGAGTTGTAAGCAGAGCCGGTTTTAATCAAAGGATGCATCGCAAAGGATGCACCGTATCCGGTACCCCGCGCGGCAAAGTTTCTTAATAAAGCAATAAATGTTAAATAATTGTTGACAATGTAAGTTTTTTAATTAACAAATAATCAGTAAATTATAGTATATTTTATATACATGTATTCGATTACTTATTGCACATTTCATTACTGGTAATATTGTAATGTATTTATTATTTTAATTTAAAAATGTTTTTTGTAAGACTATAGCTGACCCGCAAAAATTGTTTGCATACAATAACAAATTAAGTTGGTAGCAATTTAGCAAGTTTATGAGAAATTGGGCGCGTTCAAGTTGACAAAGCGGCTAGTCTGCTCGCCAAGCAAATGAACATAATTGGTTGTTACTTATAGATCCAACCAATCATATTCAATCGCTCAGTAAGCATGCCTAGCCGCTTTGCCGTCTTGAACTCGCCCATTGACTCATGGATCTTACTTGCATATACACTTGATTTGATTTTTTACATTAGCATCAATATTATTTAAATTATTAGTTAATTTAATTGTGATATTACTACTCTAGTTTTGTTAATAAATACGTTTTAAGACCGAAAATATTTCGGCGCACGTTTGCAGAATTGGATACGTATATAAATTCATACAAAACATCTACGCACTAATTGTAAGATTCAGCTCAACCGCATAAAGGCCTTTTTTCGTTTATTACTTGTGTATACCACATATGCGATCTTAAAGACACTTTTATGTTTAAAATACGTTTAAACTGTTATTATTAAGGAATATGTTTTTATTTTCGTTATAATGATTTTTCTTTGAATTCCAAGAATTATTCCCACATTTTTTTGTATTCGGTCCTACCTTAACTAGAACCAGCCCTGGTTATAAATATATACATAGTTGTAAGAATTGACCAATTATAGTTGAATACAAGGAGAATGTCTGACTGTGATTTCTTGTAACTACGACCACTTACAACTACATTTACGCAATTGTAGATCAGGCTTAAAGATTATTCTGCAATATTATAAAACGCTAAAATAATAGTAAATAAACTATATTTATGAACAATAAACACAGTTACTAAATGTTAAATACCACATACGCATGAAATAAATATTCTGTATTAAATTGTAAATTAAGATTAAATTAAGATTAAATTGTAAATTAAGATTTTTTTTTAATTTAATATGTAACAAATTCAGAAATTAAATGCTTTTCCAACAATCATTCGATATTTAAAATTTTAACGTTTTCCCAATCAAAGTCATGATCGTAATTCCTATGTTCAGTAATTACAGAATGTTTAGATATATTTTTGTGTAGTAATCAAATATGATTCCGGTATTTTGTTTCCAGTTGTTTATTTGTTTATCCTACATAGAACGCACATCACAATTTTTAAATAAAATTTTGTACATATATGTATTGTATATTCTTTCAGTTAGTTATGCATGGTCACACAATTGAAGATCTTAATTTACTGAAAGCTATAAAAAATTTACAATTTTTCTTTCATTTTCTAGAAAAAAACAATATTTGATTGTTAAACTCTTTAAAGTAAGCTAAACATTGGTGATAATATTTGCAGTAGAGAATTCCTTTTATCTGCATTCTTTATACGCAAGTTTATATTCAGTTTCAAATATTCGAACTCATATTAGGGCTTATTATCTAAATTATGCATAATAGGAGTAGTAATTTAGATAATAAGAGCTCGATGTCCTCGACTTCAGTTTTTTGAATATTAGTTCGTAACTATAAATAGTATAAATGATAGAGACGAAAGTGCAATAAATACATATGTATAATATCTCTTTCAGGCAACACAGAATATTTATAATAAACATTCATAAATATTTTATATTTATTTTATACAAGCTTTATTCGAAAACATTAATAAAATATATATAAATATTTTATATACTACTAATATCTATATATGATAAATATTTCGTAATTTTTATAATAAATATCTATAATCTATGTGCAATCTAAGACCATATATAGTATATTTACAAAATATTAAAAATAAATCTTAATTTATTTTTAATTAAATATTAAAAATAAATATATATAATAAAAATGGTAAAACTGGACAAAAGGGGAGCAACCGCCGATGACCTTGACCTTGACATATATTGTTAAGGTCACGATCCCGACCTTGAACAAATTTTATCCGTCGGTCCTCCTTCGCTAAAAAATTATTAACAAAAAAAATTGGAAAAAATCATCAAGTAAATTTTACTTAATTTCAGGGTAATTATGGTGATGAGGGGCGCCAGTCCCGATGACCTTGACACTAACATATGTTGTCAAGGTCATGACCCTGAGTAACCTCCAATAAGTTTTAGCCGTCGCTCGTTATTCGTTAAAAAGTTATTAACAATTAAAGTTAGTAATTATTTCACTGTTTTACATGAAAAGTCAAATAATCCCCCCCTCCCCCCTGCTTCAAGGGTGCACAACCCTCACCTTCGACTCTCACCCCCCCATCCCTCCTCCTTCAGGGATGCATAAAAAATTATTCAAGGCCAATATTTTGCAATTTTTAGTAATTAATATCTTGTTAACTATTGTAAAACGGTAGAGGACTTTTCGACTCAGTTTAGTCCGCTCTATCTACACAAAAGTGATTGGCAAAAAAGTTTGGGTCACCCTGTATATACATATATATATACATAGTACTCTCAAAACACATTAGTTTTGATAACTAAAAAATTTGAATTTTTAAAGTATCTAAAATTAAAAATTAAAAATTTATTAAATTTATATTAAAACATTAATATACATTGCCATTACTCTACTTCATAGTGCACGCTTGGGATATGCAAAATTAATTTTAAAAAAAGCGTTACACAAATTAAATGTGAATATATGTACATATAATTCTAACATTTGATTAAGGAATGTTTATAATGCTTACATTATTATATATTCTTTCATTAAATATTCCTTGATACGTGAATGTGAATAAATATTGTTTAATCTATACTAAAAATCTTACCGATGTTATTTAATGATTAAACTCGAGAAGAATAATAAGTCATCATAATATCAACAAAATTATGTCAAAATGATTCCAAAATTATCACGAAAAGTTTATTGTTCATTTTTTAATTATTTATGGTTTATTTTAACGTTTTTTTTTTACATTATCGTGACTTTTTATTCTGTTTGGGGGCTTAAATCGAATATACTCTGTACATATAAATTGCTTTTTTATTAAAAGCTTCGTGTTAGTAGGACAAATCAATAATACTGATAATCTCTTACGTAATTTCTATTCTCTATAATTGTATGTATAATTGTATGTCCATAACTCAGTCACATTAGTCACAGTTTTCATTAGCTATAAAAATTATTATAGTGCAATAGGTTGTTATTAAGATTAGATTCCGTGATTATTGAATCGTAATTTATCAGATTAATATCGCTTTCATATCATTTGATTCATACAACGGAAATTTCCGCCGATCATTCATTTATATAAATCCATTTGCAAAGTTCGCAAATCATTTTGCTCATTGCTAAAGAATATTTCACTTCACTAACAATGTATAGCAAGAATTGTTTGAGTAATGGCTTGACTCGGTTTACGTATACCAGTGAGTAAATACGTGCTAAAAGAGCGAATATATAATTGATGCCAAACTCGTGGAACCGGGCGTGCGTATCAGGCGATCGTGTTTACTTAAGAAAATGGTTTTATATTCTTGGCAATGCAGTAATAGTTTCGATTTCGTCGCATACAAGCGCAGTCGCGTGAACCTTTATGCCACGTTCGAATTAATTATTCTACGAAACCGATCATTTTAATCCGCGGAATTGTACAATTATTACGGACTCAATCATATAAAAAAAAAGTTCTAGATCCGATCTAAAAATGTGATCAGACATGCGATCGGAGCGCAAATAAAACTTTTATTATTACGTTCTAACATGCACAACGGTCGGGTAATGTTATAAGTCCCTATCTGACATTTAAATAAAATTGGCTTATACTTTTTTTGCCGTAGTTATTACGAAGAACTCAATGTGAATGTAACCAGAAAATGCATCGAATCCGGGATTTTTGTGTAATGTATTCAACCCGATCGTCGAGCTGACTCGTGAAATCGGTTGAATCCTTGCTGTCGAATGATTATCGATTTACACAGTTGCACAAGGAAGAATGGTTTGCAAGCTCGATCTGTGCTTGATCATAGGCCTGATCGTTTTTATATTCGATCTCACGTGGAGTGAACTAATCAGGCCAGTTTATGTGTACGAGGGTCTGATCAAGAGTATCCGTGACTATTTTAATAATACGTGCGTTGTAGTGTTGCACAGTAATCCAAATATTATTGAAACACAAGGTGAGAACAATGCGAAATTAGAATATATTGCATCAATCAGAATGATTTTTGGCATGCTAATGCGATCGATTTTTTGTATATTGAAAGTTCGCACTTTGCAGGACTTATGGAAAATGAACAATTGCTGGCTCTTCAGAGATACCTGAGCATGACCCATTACATACGCACCACTTTTATAGATTATCATATGTTCAACACACGAGTGAGCATAAAGAAAAAAGGGATTTGCCTTCCTTTTGTAATAAGTAATATTTAATTATTAAACAAAGAGAAATGTTGAGAATTCTTTTGTAATAAAGCGCTATATAATAAATAGCAAGATTATTTTGTGCATTTAATTGTCACAAATGATGCATTTATCTCTTACCAAGAAGAAGACATTTGATTGTTTGCAGGTTGGGCAAAGTTATTTTCACATCAAGAGACCTTTGTTCGTTCTGCTTAACGACCATGAAGATACAAGGGATGGTTTTGCTAAAGTAATTATTTTTTAAAAGTTTAAAGAATACTAATAAGACTTAATTCGTTATTCAGTTATTGCGATATATACTATATTATTTCTATTCTCAGGACCATTACACACAAAATTACATAAACTGCATAATCATAGCATAAAGTCCCTAGACCAATGAGTATCTTATGTAAATCAACATGGCGTCTTTATGTTGGATGCTTATTATTGGTTCAGTGGCCTTACGCTATGGTTATGCAGCTTAGGGTAACTCCGGTATATACGCCGCACCTATCAGAAACTTAATTTATTAAATATTATTTACTATGTTTAAAGTAAACGAACTATATCAGTAAAAACTTTGTACTGTCTACTATTATGAAAAAAATATTAGAAATCCGAAATATTTATATTTTGTATAAAAAATGAACTTTTTTAAACCCTTACATTTTTGCCGTATATCCTATAGAGGTGGGATATATAGCTATTCATAGAGGATGTACGGCTCATGAAAAATTTACAAATAATGCATATAAATAAGATGTAAAATGATACAATAATTTATAAAATGCATTTGTAAAGTTTTATTAAGGAATAAGAATAATATATAAATATGTATATAAAGTAATAAATAACAATTACAATCTTTCACATATATTATAAGTGTTATGACATGAGGTACATATTTCATGTAACACATTTATTGCATTTAGTGCATTGAATTCAATCTGCGCACTTTGTATGCTTTTGGTATAAATCGCGCCCGCTAAAAATGCCGTATATCCCAAACAGGTGGGATATACAAGACAACAAACTAAACAAAGAATACAAGAGCAAAGTACTTGTATTTTATTATACAATATGCTTTACTATTCCTCTACACTCATGTATCACGAAATAATTACTAACTTTTGCACATCTTACAGTAATCATTTTATGTTGATTATAATTTATGATGGCGCTACTTAACATAGTAACAAATCAATTCAAGTCACAATAATTTCATTAATATTAACAGTAAGAAACTGAAATCATAGCACAATACTAATATAACATAAAGCAACAGGGTAGGAAAATTACAGGAAAATTACCTCCACTCCCACTTTTTCTGACTTCTGCGGCATAAATCCCAGCGCGGCGTATTTGCCGAAGTTACCCTATATAATTTTGTGTGTGATGGTCCTTAGTCTTAAACAATTATTAATGCGCATAAAAATACAAGAAAACTTTTTTTTTAAATTTTTATTGTAATAAATATGTAATAAATATACAAATATATTTAAATATATAAATTACAAATTAAGAACATTTGACACAAAATTTTATTTTCATGTATATGTTTAAAATATTTTTAAAGCTTTGAAAAATTATCTTTTTAAAAACGCGAAATACTACTTTCTCGTTATTGCATTCTCATAAAGCAAAGCCTGGGAAATTTCTAAGCGAATAGTTGGCATGAACGTTTATTTACTAAAATGTAGCAGATCGCAACGTGGATCGCGATGGCTTATCCTACTTGGGTGGTATTCTTCAATAACGAAACCAAATTCGAAGACTTTTTCTTTGAGATTTACGTACCGTTTGACTGTAAGTTCATGGTGGTTCAGAGTAGCGCCAACGTAACCGGTACAGAAATCATCACTGAAGTTTATCAAGTCGACAAAGGAAGAGAATTGAGATCGTCGCAGTTCGGTATGTGGGATGTAAGGAATGGTCTGAAGGGTCCTAAGCGTGGCCTATTTTTAAGAAGGAACAATCTTTTCGGCCAGAATATACGCGTTACATCAATCCATGTAAGGTCGCTTATCCTATTTTTCGCATAAGGGTTATAATGATGTTTATATTAATCAAACATGCGATTAGTGGTTAACTATTTGTTAAAAAAGAAATGATAATATTTAAATTAATGATAATTAATGAAATAACTTTTATCACCTTCAAAAAGGTGAAAGTGATAATGATATAACGCAAGATAATGGTTATTAACGAAAGCATTTTTCAAAACATTGTTATTAGAAATAAGCCTTTACACATTTTTTTTTATTCTGCATTACACATGATATAATAGTGCTTTGAAAAGTACTTTTGCTAATCACTTATTACTTTGCGTTTTTTTATATAACATTTAATTAAAACAGAATTATATTTACAATTCTTAAAGCATCTTAATATTCACTTTGGCATAATAATTTTATGCACATAGGACCCTCCTATCAGTTTGTTTCATCGTAATGAACGAAATGAAATAACGAAAATAAGTGGTTTTTTTGGAGAAGTAATACTGCTATTGCAGGAGGCATTAAATTGCACGTAAGTATATATTATCAGATAATATATAAAGGTTATATTGTATATGCGTGAGAGAAGTTATTATATTATACAAAATTACGCTCTGTAAATAAGAGCGCTGTTAAACTTAACGATTATATTATATAACAATTTCCAAATAAAAAAATATAATTTATTGACAAGTTAATAATTGTCGTAATATATTATACTGTAATATATATTGTATTAGTTTTCCGTATCTTATCACTTTCTATCGGGCTTTTTTTTGGTTTTATCTGCTTGTTCAGATTTTTTCTGCTTTTCATCTTTTTCCGCTTCTTTATCGTTTTTCTTTTTATTCTTTTTCTCTTCTTTAATTTGATTTTGCTTTTCTTTAAGCTCTTTTAATTGTCTCGCGGTCTCTCTTCGAAAATATTCTTCCTCACTAGCGGCCGCTTTTTCCTCAAAGATCTCTCTTTTTCGTCCATCGCCACTTCTTCGACGTCTTTCCGAATATGTTCTTGGATTATATGATGGATAAAACCTAATTATATCATAGAATTTATTAAATAATATAAAAGATCTTCTTCATCAAAACAAACCATAATATTCAATGTAAAGAACGATTGATTTTTAATTAGCGTATCTACTTTATGCAATAAATAAAATAAGATATACTAGATATCACTATACTATAGCATATAATTCATTTTATAAATAATAACAATATATAATAATTTCTTAAATTGATACTTGATTGATAATGCAATAAATGAAATATAATCATTTCTTTTTTTGCACGTTATTTAATTAAGTACGATTATTATTAAGTTTGATAAAAATGATAATATGATATCTTAAAAAAGGTTACATTGTTATTTTAATTCTTTTCAAATTAATCCATTTTGCAGCAAGGTTGCGCAACATGATGTTACTGCTCCTTCATCCTAGATTTTTCTTCCTTCCTTTTGCTCTGGAATTGTTGCAATAACTATTGTCGTTCGAAAAAAATTATCAATAATTTTGACATGATTTTCTGGTTATTTAATTTTTATTTTGACAGCTTTTTTGCTGTGAAGTTTCTTCGGAAAAAACATACAATTGTCATTTGAAAATAATTGTTCTTATACATGCTGCGACAGAATTCTGATAATGAAAACTGATTTTATTTCCAAATATGCTACAGATTCACCTACAAGGAGGCCAAATCGTGGGGCATGTGTCTACCAAATGGATCGTGTACGGGTGCGATCGGGATGTTAATGAACAATGACGTCGACTTTGCGGCGACAGAGTTTATGATGACCTCGGATAGATTAGATGCTATCAGTTTTACAACGCCTATTTACACAACCAAGTAGTATATTCTTTCTTCAAAAATTCATCAAAAATAACGAGATACATATTGAAATCTAAACCTCATCGATATTTTAGTAACAAGCTTGAGATATTAGATATCTACCCGAGAAAAAAATGTTTCATATATAATTATATAAAATAATATAAAATTATACAAAATTATACATTAAAATTACATATTTTATATATAATTATATATATAATATGTCCATCATATAACATTTTTTCTCGGATAGTTTAAAACACTGTATCTATAGTAAGCATCAAAACACGCAAAACATTAAAATATGTGCGAAATTAATAAGGTTTAAAGGACATTTATTAGTTGGTTCAGAGACACACATAGACGATTTAAATGTAATTATTTAAATACGTTACATTGTGTCAAGTTTATTAAAAACAAACGTACATAAGCCAGATCATGATGTAAAAAGACTAAGTGTAACATTACGCATAATACAGTTGAATTTAATTATTTATTAGATACGCTATGGACTTTCTACAATAAGCCATTACTTGAGCTTTAAGTCTTAAACTGTAAGAAATTAGCCAATCATAGTCAATTATTTTTCTCACATTCGACTGTGATTGATCAGTTTATTACAATTTAAAACTTAGGTAATGGCTTATTGTAGAAAGCCTATTAGATTATATCGAGTTCATTAAAAATAAATATACTAACGAGTTTATAAATTAGATCATTTGTCAGGTAACAAAATCAAAATCTATTATTTATGTTCCTTCTATTTTAAGATGCCGTGCGTACATTAAAAGGCCTAAGACGTCTGATGTAAAATGGGATGCCTACACGGCACCGTTCTCCACAAATATCTGGCGTGCCATTGCTTTTTTCATTGTACTTACGAGCGGAACGATTGTGCTCATTCAGAGATTATTTGCAGTAACATCTCCATATCTTCGAAATGACAACCGTTTGAGATTTACAGAAATTTTGTTTTTTGTCACAGGAGCGTTTTGCAATCAAGGTAACTTCAACTTTTACGCGCCAATTGCTCGAGTGCTTGCGCTTTTTTAAATATATTATACTAAATTTTTTTTAAATATACGACCTCTATCTTTCTTATGAAAAATGGTATCAGGTATGAAACAATCTATACTGGATCCTGTGAGAATTGTGCATTTCATAATTCATCTATCGGCTGTCGTGATTGTAGCCGCGTATTCCGCTGCCTTGATTAGTTTCCTTGCTGTTCAAACGTTTATCATGCCCTTCACTACTATGGATGGTCTTCTGAAGGATAAGACCTATCGTTTTGGCGTGATCGGAGACTCGGCAGATTTTAGTTTTTTTCAGGTGTTTAAAATAATTCTCAAATTATCTTTGCTATAAAATCAAGGATCAGAGAAAAAGTACATTACATGTTTGAAGTAAAAATGCTGTAACAGTATATTTTATAATTAAAAATGTTTTCTATTTATATATAAGATTATATAAAATACTAATTTATACGTTTTTATGAATTTTTCTAAAAATGAGTTGATCTCTTTTCTTTTTCTCTACCCTCTTTTAAGAAAAATTATATTTAAGAAAAGTTTCATGTACGATACATTAATTTATGATAATTTTATTATGACAGAATACATCGGATAAAATACTGAAGGTGCTGTTCGATAAATTACTAATGAAGGAAACTGATTTGCCGAGTAATTACTTGGACGGCTTAGAACGCGTTTGTAATGACGATAAATATGCCTTTATGACATTGGATAATATGGCAACATTGCTGCAGCAAAAAGTCAACTGCAAGTTGGAGCCATTGGATGTCATTACGCAGACTACCATAGCAATGGCTTTGCAACCAAACAGCCCGTACCGTGGTATCATCAACGCAAAGTACGTGCAAGTTTTATTAACGTGAATTAAAATAATTAAGAGTTGTTCCAATAAATATTTTCGTTTTATTTGTTGCAGTATTCTTCTTTTGAGAGACAACGGGATTCTGCAGCGATTGCTGGAGACACAATGGTCGGTTCAGCTAAGCGGAGGGAATGTACGTATCCCTCCCATACATCACAGATCATTCAAAAATATTGCAGTAACATTGCAAATATTGCAGCAATGTTGCTGCAAATTTTTGTGCTATATAAGTTGTAAATTTTGCTGATTTATCATCCGACGGGCTGATACATTTATCTTTGATCGCAGGAAAAGTCATCGTGGAAATCGGTCGATATCGGCGATATTGTGCCGCTGCTACTTTTTATAATCGCCGCGGTGTTCATCAGCTGTCTCATCTGTGTCATGGAACGCGTTATTTTCATGAGCTTTTTCAATCGAATCAAGAAAGAAGTGAATAAGCCGCGGGTGTAAACTGAAAGTGTAAATAAGAGAGAATGCTACGTTGCTAAAATATTACATCTTGTTTAATAAAATCTCACGAAGCTCTCAGATGTTTAAAATTAACGTTTTTCATTATACTGATGTCCGCCTTCTATTTTTCCTGGTTTATAGATGCAAAATAAGTAGCGGATAAATTATTTCGTATTTTGAATTTTTCGTATTGTGTTTGCTATCTCATGTAGCTTTACTTACATCGCTAGGACGAATACAAGTATAAACAGTCGAGGCAAAAACTCGTAGGATTTGCTAATTTCCCTGGCAGTCGTTTCGCTAGTCACCGAGAAACAACATCACGCATTACATCTTGTGTAAGTCTTTCCACCGAATATTTATGATTTTATAATTTTTAACTATCAGATTAATAATATAATTAAAGTATTTGATATAATATTTTAATAATTGATTAAGATATAATATTCTAATATATTTAATATGTGTAGTTATTATAAATTATATACATTACTCAGTTTATGATATTTGAAACATATAGAGGGGTGAAAGCCATATTGATGTCACTTAATTATGATTTTAAGGAACAAAAAGGTTTTTTCAACATATTTGCTTCAGTAAACTGCACTAATGACTTTAAGTTGATAGATTTAAAAAAATGATTTACATTACTATCGCTCTTATCCCTTCATATACATATATCACAAACATGAAATATAAGGTAAACGTCCTAATGACCCAACATGTACCTATGTTCGGTAATCTACAAAACTTTGTTTGTTTATATTATTATTATTTCAAACGTTTTTAAAATAATCTTAAAATACGTTTAAATTATAATATTATAATAAAAAAAACATTTGAAATTAATAATAATTAATAAATTTTGTGTAAATGTCCGTATAGGTACATGTTTATAGCCGGGTTCACAAGTCGATTTGAAATCGATTGATTTTTAGGATCGTTTGGTTTGATATCTACTACATATTCTATTGATCTTCGAAAGAAGATCGATATTTTATCGATGCTGCGTTGATAAAACGTCGATCTTCTCGATGCAGCGTTGATAAAATGTCGATCTTCTTCGAAGATCAATAGAAAATATAGTCGATATCAAATTAAATGGTCCGAAAAATCAATCGATATTAACTCGATTTCGACTTATGAACCAGGGTAGTCACTCGCTGGTCACTCTCTCTCTTTCTCTGGAACATTTACCTTATTAATATTATTAATATTATATCATTAATTATTATTAATTATTGATCAATGACAAATTAATTTACGTATATCTTTTTAGACGTCTAATCGCGTCGGCGAAGATTCCTCAGACGGCAGAGTTAAACTAGTCACAAATTATAACATAATCATGGACGAGGAAAATATGTACACAACGAAAAGTGGCAAATCATCCGAATTCAAGGACAGTGGAAAGAAGAAAGGCCTGTCACTAAGAAATACTGAAAATCATGTAGTTTGCAACACGATGGTAAAACAATACTCTTCCAACAGAAGAAGGTTTCGCATTTATTCCGAAGAAAGCAATGAAAGTGGTCGATCACGATCCCGTGTGAGAAAAGACGTACCCAAAAAAGAGATAAGAGCAAGGCGAGATAACGAAGTACTCAAAAAAATAACCGAATCAACAATCAAGCCCGAGAAATTTAATCCTGATTTATATATTTCACGCAGGTAAGAAGGATGTATTGCGGAAAATTAGTTTCGTTGTAAAAACTTAAAGATTAAACTTGATGCTACTTTCTAACAATATATAAATTTACAACAATATATATATTTACATACAGGGTGGTCCCAAATGTTTGTCCCAACTAGATTTTGAAATTTTATAGGAAATTTAATTTTGAAAAAAAATTTCCTGTAAACACATGGGTCGAAAAATGCGCTTAGTTAAAAAATTATTGTTCAAAAACTTCTGTACGAAATAACGATTATTTTACACATTTTTATAAATATCGGGGAATGTATGCGCTTTTTAACAAAAAATACCAAAATGTGAGTTGTGTGTGTGTGTACAGAATTACATTTCTTATAAAATCTCAAAATTTGACTGTAAAACGTTCGGGGCAATCCTATATATACATATAAAATAAAAAATCTTAATGAGATAATGTTAAAAAATTGTTTTTTTTATCAGAGCACGTTCTTCAAGCAACTGTCGACAGAATACTCTTTTAGAAAAAATTAACGTGAACAGCAAATTATTTAACAATCGGAGGTAATGTGTACAAGTAAACAAATTTTCAATAAATCTTTTTGTACACATATAATTTATAACATATTTGTATATTATTTACTTTAAAATACAGAACAAAAAAAAATATTGCATGGATAATTGTATAAATTTTATTTCCTAAATTATAAAAAGTTAAAGATGATATTCGGATTTTGTTATATTACATCTAACTGTATATTTGCATTTGTTTATATTTACTCTTATGTTACAAACCAAAATATAATGTTCTTTTTTTATATTTTCTGTGCGTTTTATTAAGCACTGTTTTTAGTTTTTCATAATTTAAATCAATCAAACATACACAACGAAAAACAGTCTCTTCTTATTTTATGCTGTGAATTTAGTCCTCCTTAGGAGTATTGATACAAAAATGTTAATCGAAAACAATATGTATGCTATTTATAAAACAGTGCATTTTGTTGTTAAAGGAGCAACAATTAATATACAAATATTACATCATTTTTTAATTAACATCTACTTACACATATATATGTACTTGTTGTATTAATGTTTATTTTTATATTTTATGCTATATTTATCATGACATTAATTGATTATGTTTCATTCAGATCTTATTCCGAAAGCAGAGGAATTTCATTGCAATGTGCACAAAACAGTGTTGTTGAATTACCCAATGTCCAAAAAATTAAACATCTTACTGACGATGTTAAAAAACGAACCTCTTTTAGTATTCAAACATGGAAAGAGAAAATGAGGAAACCATGCAGTTAGTATATTTTAAGAGAATATAAGAAAAATGTGTATGCTTATATTAAAATTAGGAAGAAAGATTTTCTTACTTGTAAATCTTTTCAGCTGGTACAGTTCCCAAAAATAGGACGGCCAATACTAATTTAAATAACAAAACTTTTTCACTGGTTGGTATCAATAAAATTAATTCCAGAACGAACTTGCAAAAGAATTCTGTTACTGGATCGATGAATTTGCAATCTGAGCTATTGCAAAATACGAATGAAGATAGTAAACAAGCCCAAAATATCGACTCCTTGAAGAATGCACTTCAGCAGATATCAAATGAAATTAATATATATCTGCAAAATAATAAGTTACTTTCGACAGTACAAAATGACACAAACAAGAGGTAAATCATAAAAAATCTAAAAATAAAATAAAATAAATTTCTTTCATTATTACATATTATTTAATTATTAATTAATATATAAAATTATTTCTATGATTCATTACGATAAAGAAAGCATGCGGAACACACTTTGCCGAGTCTTAAATTGTTGCAAACATTTTTTTTAGAAACTTTATTTCTGAGAACGCTGACAATAATAATCTATTAGGCGCTACATCATTTAATTTTAGCTCTAACTGCGTAACACCTTTAGATGACTCTATTTTCCCGCCATTAACTCCAACAAAGGTAAAAAAATATAATATGTAATAAACAGCACAAAAATATATGTTTGTGCTGTTAAAAGATTAGCATCGTGATTTTTTTAAGTACAAATTGATATCAAATTAAAATGCAAATTAAATATGGTTTTAAAATAGGCTTGCAATTTACTTATTGTCAGGCTTATTGCTATAGTTTCAGTATTAATATAAATATATCATAAATAAATTATCTTATATCATCCACTCGCTGTGGTATTTAACAATGGTTTTATCAAAAAGATGCATTACGAAAAATGTGTAATGACACAGAAATTAGCAATTAAGAAGAAAAACGAGATTGATGTTATTTGCGAAACACCGTACGAACGTGATTACTTGGAGGACATACCAGAAACGGAACGTAAGAGAGATATCAACGCTCCGAGGCTTTCCCCTCATTTTCTGCGTGAAAATGTAAACGCAAAACAGAGGAGAATCGTCATAGGATACATTATTCGTGTTGGCGTAAGTGTAATGTAGTGTAGAATAGTTACGGACGTTTGATGTTAATCCGTAAGTGATACCTGGATGCGGATTCGTACCTGCCAAATTTTCAATTTGTGGATATTTGAGAAAATTGATTTTACTTAACCCACAGTTTTGGATGAATAACGTCTTGTTTTTTGAAAATTCAATATTGCCAATCGATTGGTTAAAAAGTTTTACATTGAAAAATGTAGGTTTTATTTTAATTTTGTTTTAACTTTTAGAAGATATATATATATATATAAAACATTTAAAACCCCTAGTGCTAATTCGCCTCGTGCGAATCCAGATGTTCTTTACGAATACTCAAACAGAACATGTCCTTTATGAATTAATATAGTATATAAACATTGGAAAGTGATATAAATATTTGTTTTATAATTGTAAATTTACAAAAATAGTTTTTATATTTATTAATGACAAGAACAAGCCACTAACATTAGATTTTTTTTTATTACTTAGATTACATAGAACGAAAAAACGTATTTATCAAAATTATATCAACCTCGATCTCTGTTGTACATATAATTACGGTTACTTTCAGATACACTGCTACTATTCATCTTATGTCATTTATCAGACTATCAAACTATTCAATATAGTTATTGATCGAATTCATGTGGGAGTTGACGTTATACAATTAATAGCTCTAGCGTGTCTTTGGATAATTCTGAAGCAAGATGCAGCTAGTGATAAAATACCATCGGTAATAAAACTTTTCGTTCAGAGGAAAGATTGAAAGATAATGTTACCATAACTATAGCTGATTAAAATATATTGCAATTTTAATATAAATTCATTAAATATCTAATGGAATCAAATAATCTTTTTAGGCAACTGTAATTCTGGAATTAGCGAAAAATTTATACAATAATCAAGAGAAAGATTTGTTGAAGTACGAGAAGAAGATTCTCTGCGCCGTTAAATTTAACATACGATTCGCTGATCCATTTTCTTTGCTTTCATATTATATATTGAATGTAAATCAAGACAGTCGATCTAATATTATTAAGCCGAATGATATCGCGTGTGTCTACTTTTGCGGTAGTTATATGGTAGTTATAAACACAAGTACTATGTAGCGATTCAATTTTTAATATACAAACTGTACACAGAGACAGATAATCTTTTTTTACAGATCGATTCATCTATGCTAGATGAAAACTTATGTGAAACTCCGGTGTATATAATAGCGATAGCTGCAGTACAGTTGTCGCTTCGTATTGTATATTTGAGCGATGTTAACGTGAATCCAGAATGGTATCAAGTTTGGAGAAATAAACAATCGCTCATAGAGTAAGAAAAAAATTAGCGAATGCGCAAAATAGATATCCTGCTTTTTATCTTCAACGGATATATTCGTAACATTTTTCATAAACAATAAATATATTAATCTTGCAATAAAGAAAATTTGGCACGATCTGCAAGAAGCAATTTATTAATTTGTAATTAATTAATTAGTTTGAAATTAGTTAATTAAATAATTTGATTAAATGATATATCTAAATTTCTATTATAGTTGTAAATATATATAAATGATTTTTATATATATTAATAATGAAAACACTGCCATTGACGTTAGGTATTAATTAACTTAAAATTAATTAATTAATTAGGAATTAATTTGAAATTCTTAAAACTTTAATTCACAGTTTATTTATACTTTTAGATGGGAAAAAAGAATGCTGAATTCTACGAAGCAGATTATGTTACAACGAACCGTAGACTATAAGGACTTTGGTGCAAATGTTATATACAAGAAATACACGTGTAGCAAATACGGTAAAATCACCAATTTTCTTCATAATAAATTGAAGAGTATCTTGTGATAAAAGATTAGATAGTGTCTAGTTAAAGATATCACTTGTCCCACGATGCTATCGATGGACGTTATTAGATTTCTACTCAACGAGGAAAGTAGGAACATCAGATTATTAAATCTCTGACTGTCACATCGTCATCGGAAGAGCATTTGCAAAGCTCGATATGCATGATCGTGAAGAAGAGCTTGTTAAAGAGGGACACTTATTGGATAATTGTTGCTTAGACATGTTAATTATTTTGTTATCAAATATGTTTTATATTTAGATCGCGCTGGTCGCGTTTACGTTTTATAGTTTACAAAAAATTCGTTTTCTTATATTAAAAATATTTATAAAGAAAAAGCTTAAAACACATTTTAAAACAATTTTATAAAGATGATGTAGGAATTAAGAAATATATTGTACATGCATGCTCGGAAAATATATTTTTTTATTATCGAAAATTTAAAGAAGCAAGCGTTTATGATTCAAATCTCCACGCTCAGCATTATTCCTTAAAAGATTGGTCGTGACATTGAAGTGTGTAATCTCTATCGCGGTAATATGCTACTTGTCAATGCGTAAACATAAGCGAGGTTATCGACAGTATTTTATTTGTCTAACAGTCCTCTCGGGTTATTAATATATTATGACTTAATAATGATTTTTCAGCAACAGCAACAGAGTAGCACTATCACATATACTATAATTAAAAGCTATCAAGTAGTGTTCGATTTTTAATCGTCAAGTTTTAATGAGTGCCGTAGTCCTGTTGAATATCTGCCCAAGAATTCCACTTATCCCACGTGTTATCGATGGACATTAGTTCCTTCACGTCATCCTAAAGACAGTGACATAATATTTAACTCTTCGTACAAATAAACAGATATCTAAATTAACTGTATATGATCATCTAATTTGAAAAACAACATATTGCTAGGAAGATATAATCATTTCTTATGACGCTATATAAAAAATTGTTATCTTTGAATTTTTCGTCTAAAATATAATTTTATGTATGTATGTAGTATATTCTTGTTATTCGTAATAGTATATTTTTGCTATACGTGCTACATTTATAATAGTAGTACAATATTTAATATTAGATATCCTATTTGTGATACACTTAATATAAATTTGATTAGACTTTAATTATTATTTTAGCCAAATAGGAAATGATGATCTTACCTTGAATAATACATTGGGCTTGTCGCCCCAGGCACCAAAGAGGCGTAGCAGATCCGGATTTTTGGAGTACAATGTACTCGCAGCCAAAATGCCATGTTTCAATTCTTCAAGGGCGTTCGGGCCTTTCCCAGCCGAGCTAACAATTATTCTCGGTGGCTCCAAACCTAAATTACAACGTTCCCATTCGTTGATGGGCGCTTGACCACCATTTGGACAGAGCAAGATGTAATCTTCGAGTTTGCCAGCGGCATCCTTCTCGTTATCTATGATTTGATATATAACGTCCAGAAACAACATAATTACATGTATAATTTATTTAACATAATTGTATTTACCGAGCTGCTGCAAAGCCGTCAAAGGTAGGAATGCAACGTCACCCTTACCATCCTTCAAACATCTGAAAGAAATTAAACACTCTCTATAATATGTTATCTCTTTGGAGATATAAAATTCTCTGTAAATATATTATTCTTATTAACAAATCGCAAATGCTGTACGCAATTTATTTTATTTAAGTAAAATCGAGTAATTCCCATTTCATTTATATATAAATTAGTCGAAGATACTTGCACAAAAAATAATGAAGGGATGATATTACCTGAGTGCTCCTTTTCCGCCGTTGTAATATTCAGCATTCGTAGGTCTGCATTTCGTTGCTTCTTTTGCCTGATCGTCGTCGATCTTGATATTACCAACACACAGTTGACAGGATTTTGAATTGAGAGGTGCACCAGGTGCACAAGACTTAGAGAAGAAGGTATTTATTTCGCTAGGTTCGTTAATAAGGCTGTTATGTTTGAGTATGTGAGCTGGTGCATTGTAACCAGCAAAATTGCCTTCGTAACCGCTGTGACAAGATGGTTTGTCTTTAAGATCGCCTGTGAACGAGAATATTGATAATTATGTATGAAAGAAATTTGTATAGGGGGGGGGGGTGGCTTTTTAAAATTTATATATGTAGAGCTGATTTTTCTATAAACTTTTTTAATTATTCGAATAACACATTTTTTCTTAAAATTTTGCTTTGATATTGATATTTTTGTTAAATTAATATTTTTATTAATGTAAAATCAGTTCCAATTTTTAATTGTTATTATATATTTCATCACATTTTATGGAGTTTATAGATTGCAATATCGTACCCAATCCATTTATGGAGGAGCCGCTCTTGATAACAGCAAGTGCTGGTCGCTCGCTGAATTTCGTGGATCCCTCACCATATGTCTCAGCGACGATTGGTTTTACATTGTACTCATTAATTGCACGTTTTACTGATCCGCCGTCGATTATTGTGATATCCGCTCCATTATCCCTGACAGCCTTCAAGCAAGCAATCTCGTCTTTTTCCAGTATGCAATCAAATCTGGGTCTGGCGTCTCTATATAGATTATGATACATGTAATATATATCAAAATACAATAAAAGCAGGGTTGTATAAGTTATAAAAAAAAGTAACGAAGTTACCTTTTTTGTTCCTTTTTTTTTACGTAATTACCTTTCCTAATGAGTAACGGTAATGGTAATTAATGTTACAATTTTTAATAACAAATAACGAAATTTGAAAGTTTTTATTTCGTTACTATTTCGTTACTTCGTTACTCGTTACTTTTAGTTTTTTCAGTGAGTAACGCATAATTATGACAAGTTACTTTTCAAAGTGACTTTTCCAGCCTTAATGAATAAGAGTGTTTGCATTTTCATAATCTGAACAATATAATTTCTATCAAGGCATAAAATCGATTTCTCATTTATTTACGTTCTAGATATTTAATTAACAAAAATTTGTTAGGTTTTAGATAATAGACAATTATGACACGAATTTTGATTTTAATTAGATTTAGATAATAGAACAACTAAGAAATTAAATTTGTTTTGCTTTGAGACACCAAGTTAAATTGATCAAAAATTGACATTTATGTGTTTCGTGACTATACCTAGAGAAAGCGGCTCTAGCGAGGCTGCGACACTTGTTCAATGCATTTTCGTCCCAAACACACCAACGAGCGTCCCTTTCCGGCGCTCCGGAATTCCTCTCGATCACGTCCATATATTTCGCGCTTTGCAAATGTTCATCCGGTGATACTGGAGGTGCAGCGACAGCCAGAGTCTTCTCGTTGAGAAGCAAGAGATCTTCCCACCACTCTGCTTTCTCATTTTCGCCAAGCTGACCTAGCTGCGTCAATTCCTGAAAAAGATTCCAAAGTTAAATCGCAATCTATCCAATGCAGTGTAATAGTTACTTAAAAAAATAATTTCTTAACTAAACCTATCTTTTGAGTTCTTAATTCACTTGTTATTTTTATTATGATAATTAATTTATGGTAAAAAAAAAGATTTAATAGTGTTAATTAACTATTTAATAATGTGAATTTTTGCTAATTTCTGAGAAAACTAATTATTGCTTTCTAGAAGTGAAAATTAATGATAATATTTTTATCACAAATTATAATGTATATCTTTTAAAATTTCTGATACTACGTCATGTAATATAGGAATGCTTTTGTTCAGACAATCTCGTTGTTATTCTATGTAACATTAGTCATTAAAAACATGTAAAATAGATTCTTAAGAAACAAATCACGTACTCTTTGAATTGCTTCCGCGTTGTTGGCATCAGCTCCATTGGTCATATATCCCTGCCACGGTCGGGCAGCCCACGTGCATGGTTTCGTATTTGCGTCGATAGGTACTTTACTGCCGTCTGGGCAAAAGTACCGGAAGTCAGCCGGGTTTTCGGATGTTGGCATTGCCGGCGTAACTCCGACGGGCAGACCGAAGAAACGCTTCACATAGATGACTTTCGTCCAGGCGACGTCGCCGCCGTTGTGAGCCAGACAACGTAGAGCTCCCTCGTATCCGGAGTATATGTCCGGATAATCGCACACGTTTGGTTTCTCACATAGAGCGCACATATTGCTGTACGTCTCCTCTGAAAGAACAAAAGTAAAATAATAATAGTAAAATAATACAGATAGAATAAATAAGGCAACATGAACGAGCAAAAAATGTAGTTCTTACTTTAATTAATTGTATATATTTAAAATAAATTTAATGTGCAGGATGTTTTAACCTAATTAAGTCCTCTTCAACTGCAACATCACAGTAATAGTAAAATATTCATAAAATATCTAATTAAAAAAATTAATAGCTTACTATATTTCTCAATTAGCGTTTTTAATATTTTTTTAAAAGTATTTTTTTTTAAATAGAATGTTTATTTATACAATCCATAAAATTTGAAATGTGTCAAGTTTCATAAACACAAAAATAAATATCGAATAAAACTCAACGCATTACGACGCATCTATCAACACTTAAATATACACTTTAATTATTTCGCCATACGTGAAAGAGAAAAGTCAACTGCAGAAGAAATAGTTACGCAATGTAATTTTACTTTCTACTTAACGTAACTTCCTTCACTCGCATCGCAATTTGTTGAGCCACGGTCACTTTAACTCGCACGATTGCAAATTGACTTCAAATAAACACAAGAAAATTAGTGTCTTGAAAGAAATGAGTCGATCTAAGTACGCGTTATTTCAATTGATGATATTGTTTGCTGCACCTATATGACACAATCGCCGCAAATTTCGAAGATTACTGCCACTTACTGAGCCTCTGATTGATGGTAGGATCGGGTGACCATGTGCCCACCAAGCAACCTTTGTCGAAGAGTGTGCTTAGAGCGCGAAGTTCATTCTCGCGAGCGGAATATTCCGGGTTGTTGATGTCAGTCAACACGCCCATCGCGGTGAGTTTCGTGATGGGAATTTTGTAGCCGACATTACGGCCCACACCAGTGTGGCAGGATTTAAGACCTTTCAAGCCCTGAACGTTGTTAATGTCCAGGTCCTTGTGTATTACGGCTACCGCTTCGTAACGATATATCGCATCAGGTTCTTCCTTCGTTCTCACCTAACAGAAAAAAAAACATATTTTTCTCAACAATTTATATGATAAATTATATTCTGAATTAAATATCCTATCGAATATCCGACCGAGACTTGCAGTTTAGAATAAAAAATGTATTTGCCAAATTTTTG